CCAATAGAAAACATCCCAGGACTAAGGACAAAGCCATGTGCTGCTAAAACCAGTGTTCAGGGTCATTAATCCTAAGAGTTTTATTTCCTACAGAATCACGTCCCGATTCCTAGTTTTAAGGGTTGTTTTTGAAGAATTGTGAAAAACCTTTAATGGACTTGAGGAAAATAAGCCAGCAGACTTGTTTTGAAAGTGTCAGAATGAGCAGGATTCTTGGAAGAGTGGCCTGCTTCCCTGCTTCTGCACCAAAGAGCTGCTCTGTGCCAGCTCTCAGCTCCGTGCCAAGTGCAGCATGAGAATTGTTTCCCAAAAAGCCATGTCAAATTTTACATTTAGTGCTGGCTACAGCTAAGGCAGCAGCAGTGAACTAGGAACTGACACAGCAAACAATGTTCAAGCCCTTTAGAACATATAGAAAGCTCTTGAATCACAGAAACAGCACTAAAAAAGCCTTTTATCAGCCTAACAAAATGGACCTGTCCCTCTTGCACAGAGATGTGTGACCAAATAAATGCAAATCAGATGTGACCTGAAATGAACCTGAGGCAGTAACACCCCTCCCTCCCACACTGAGGCTGCTCAAACTGTAAATTCAACTTCAAGCAAACTGTTCCCAGCTAACCCCAGGATCTCTCCTGGCACTGCCTGTGGCTCCAGGGAGCAGCTGCTGAGAGATGCTCTGAAGGATCCAAATGACAGTTTTCAGCACTGGAAAAACAGCTAAGCAGGCCAGGGACAGCCAACATCAGAGTCACTCCTATACTGCACCACTTGCATAACCACTGCTGTGACCTGCCCAGGCTGTGCTGCAGCAGTTTGAGAGGAAAACAGCCACACACAGCAAGTGGAGGGTTCTGTGCAATGCAGATGCACCTGTGGGACAGCTGAGCAGCCTCAACAGGTGCCTACATGCCATCAATTCCTCCATGTGCCCTTCATGGCAGAGACAATGCTGCAAGCCCCAACCCGAGCTCAGCAGCACATGGGTGGGCCCAAGGGCATTGTTCTCTGAGCGTGTAATTGCATTCCCAACAACCTCCCTGTACATACAGCTTTAAAATGAGCAATTAATTAAAAGCAATTTGAAAACACTTACTGAGTCTGTTCTCTATTGATGGCAAATCCAGGCACTAAAGCAGGAAGGATTTGCTGGTTTGTAACTTTTCATTTATTTGAGTCAATAGAAGACTCAGTTTTACCATCATGAAGAAATGTAATTAAAGTAGATGGAACAGGAAAAGTAGATAGTAATAAAGAGTTAATATAGTGAGTTCTCCACTTAGCCTGTTCTATCTCCTTTCAGAGGGAACTGCTGTACAAATAGCAAAGCAAAACACCTTAGAACTCCTCCCTTTGAAAGCTGGAGCTCCTCATTGCATTGCTGCCAGATGGGTTAAATCCAGACTGCTACCCTGAAATAATTTACCCCTAAAAGTTGCACCAACTTTTAGCAGTCAGTGTTCCCTCTCACACCAGGTGTTGGGCTCAAACCGACGAGATATTAAGCAGTGTATTACTACAGTGATAACATATTCCATGTACACATTGCTGATGCAGCTGCAGTGATAAGAATATGAACAGTTCAGGTACTCAAAAAGACAACGCAGAGTTTGTCAGGGCCAGAACTGCTGTTTTTACTCTCCCAGTGCCATCTAGTGGCGACAACCACAAGGATTCACCGAGGTGTAAACCATGAGGTGCTCAGAGCAGCCTCCAGTGCCCACAAAGTGGTAATTGACCTGAACAGTCCACGCTAATCTCTACATCGTGCACAGGAGAAAAGAGGAAAACAGTTCCTTTCTTCTCTTGCTTCCTGCACTCGCTGTCCTCACAGAATTCTGCCTGTTATGTGAAACCTTCCCTCTTATGTTCCTTTCCTAACATCAAACTCAATCTCTTTTCCTAGGTGACACAAGTCCCTGGAAGCTTTGGAAGGCTGCTCACCTCCTAAAAACCTACTCTGAGTTATACTGATAAGCCAACAGAGAAGTTATATCTTGTTATATCTGTTGCTTTAATGTCAGCTCAGGTCATGGCCTAAATATAGCCAAAAGGTTCACACACTCCACAGGAAAAGTCAAGTGCTATGTCCTGAAATTTAATTTTTCTATATTGAAGCCATTTAGAACTATTTAAGCACTTGGAATTTTAAACAGAGTAGAAGAAAGGTCAACTCATTCCACCTTCCTTTAGAAAAAGAAGTGGTGCTGTCTTGGGAAGACAAATCATCTTGGAGAGGCCTAATTTGACAGCACTTCTGCTCCTCTGTGTCAGACTGATGTAGAGCAAAGGAACACAACCCACCTTCAGCCTGGAAATGCTGTTTGCCCCTCTCTGTGTGACTGTCCTGAGCTACTAACAGCTCCAGCCCTGCAGTCAGGAAGGTCTGTGTGCTGGCTGAGCACTGTCCATAAAAATGCTTACACACTGCTCATGGGCTTTGCTGAATTTCCCTTTCCAGTCACGGAGGCTGACAGCAATATTTTTGCCTAGAAGGCTGTGCAGGCACCAACTTGTATCTCCCTGTGCTTTCTGCCTCCACAGCCTTGAGGACAGAAGCTACACTAAGTCTGAGGCTGCTGCAGATGCCATTCCATCTCCCAGGCACTGCCCTGCTGTGGGGAAAAGCAGGAGTTTCTTGTCTTGTGCAGTGTTCTCTGTGTTATTGTTAATGATTAAAGCAGTTCTGAAAGTAAACATCTGTAATTGTTCCAAATACAAGATGACATTTGTTGCAGAAACTGGTTTTAATTATTTTGTGGCCATGAATCCTTTTCTAAAATCCAGGACAGTGGTTTCATAAACCAGGAACTAATACAATGGCCAAAAGCAAAACACACCCAAACATTTCCCTAACTTTCCTAGCTAAGTTGAGATAAACAACAGCACACAATTTTTCAGAAGATATTTTATCTTCATAGAAAAACATTTTTTCTTTCTATTTTCACAGCAAGATTAATAGAGCCTGAACTTCAAACCAGCTGCCTATTGCAGCTGTTTCAGCTGGAAAAATAAGCATCTGAAGCTACTAAAAAAATGATGCTGAAAAAAAAATTTTAAATGGAAACATTTGAGCTGCACATGCTAAAAATGCTTCATTTAATTAGGAAATTAGGGGCTGGAGCTTGCAGATTTTGCCTCATGGTTTCAGAGTGAGGCTAAAATCTACAGTTCAATGAACACAGAACTTACCAACCACAAAACAAGGTGACACAGGATAAAATATGAATAACATTCACTAGAGCCCAGAGGCATTACACCAAGTATTTCTTTTCCTTTAGAAGGACTTACTGCTTAGGACTTAGAGAAAATTCTTTATCCACATATTTGAAAGTATTCAGCAATGAAACCCCTTGATTCAGGAGGAGCAGTGTGGAGACATCCTTACCAAATAGAGCAGAAAGGTGTGGAGACCTGTTCCAAGTCCAACAGAGGACAGAATGCCCAATCCCACCCAGTAGGCACACCAGAACAACTTCTTCTCCATGTACTTCACATACTGAAATAGAAAAGTCACAAAAGAGAAAAAAAAAGAGTTAGGATTATTATATTGCATTCTAACAACTGAAATAGAATCCTAGATACTTCTACTTGCAATTTATTGCAGTTACAGCACAGATATGCAGAGAAAACAGCACATTTCCCCCCACACATAGAATCAGCAAGTTTCCAAGGAGACAGATGAAAATTCAGGTTCAATAGTAGGGGGCTGGGATCCAGAACAGGCACATTAGGTGTGAGCAGGGAGCAGCAAGCCCCAGACAGTGTCTGGTGTCTACTGAGCCCAGGCAGCAAGCAGACAGCTCAGGGCATGGTCTGAACAGATTAAATAAAGGAATGAAATTAGCTGCACTCCCAGTTAGTCTGTGGAATGTTTTATCTTGGAGCAGGGAGTAGCAGGTTTGTTCCTTTTAAGAAAAGATAAATGTTGGCTGTGTGCTGCACACATCAATGAGGGGATATGGCAAAGCCACTGCAAACTCTGGACATCAAAAGTCCAGCTGGGTACACTGGAGAAGCAGGAAGCACTATCTGCCTCTCACTGCTGTGAGAGCAACACCAAGAGGATGAGCCAAGTGTCCCCAGACCTGTCCTGGGAAGTCAGGACTCCTGTTCCAGACCTGCATGTCCCTCAGGCAGCAATGACACACCACAGCACTACGGAGGCAAGTGAGTTCTCTGAAATTGGAAACCTGCTCATTTCAGGGTCAGAGTGGTAAGATGACACAGTTCCACAAGGAAATGGGTTTGAAAAGGTTGTCTGTCCTCCAGGAAAATGTGACACTCAAAGAGAAATGGGGAGGGGGAAGGTGCAAACACCACCATTACCTTAGGTAACGGTGTAAAAGCATCATTTTTGTGTTCACCAAGCTCAACAAGTTTCTGAACAGCCATTTGAAAACCATGTGGGTATGAGAAGCATCACAGAACCAGATTTGAGCCATAAAACCATTTCATATGTAGATAGATGCCTATCCTGTCTGGTCAGGAGCCTCTTCCATAAAAGCAGAAGAAACATTTCTTGGGAACCACAAAGTTCTCCCATGACTCAGTATAACATTATCCCCAAAGAGCTCACACCACTATTAAAAGCTTGTAACAGCAGCTGTGAAGGAGTGCTGCAGCACTGGAGGTGTGCTTACTCAGGCACAGATGAGAAATGCAACACCTACAGATACAACAGACCAAATGATGCAGCTGATCACTCCCCACTCCTGAAACACAACTCAGCCACACACAGCAGAGTCATGACATGAGAAACAAATGCTTGGGGAGCAGGAGTTCAAAAGACACACTAACTGCATGAAGACCCTGTTTAATTCCCAGCACTTCAGCACAGGGACAGGAAGGGTAAGTAACTCAGGGAAGCAGCTTGAGAAGCTCTTACCTGTTGATGTGCTCCTTCGATGTAGTAGGTGGCTGTGAGTGCTGCCAGTGCCAGTAAAACACACACCAAGATGCTTCTCCGATGCCACAATCTGAAAGACAAATGGCAATTAGGGTTTTACATCATTAGCATCCATTTCAAAGCACCCCAGCTAGCCCTGGGGCCTGGGACAAATGGCAGCTGAAAAGTTTGCCATAATAAGAGCATAACCCTCCCATGAAAATCTCTGGGGAGTCTTTATTCTTTAGGGGAAAATCTCCACTTTGCTGTCAAGTGAGATCAAAGTTCAGCCATGCATAATTTGGTTTTTAAATAAAAATACCAAAGTAACTGTCTGCAAAAAAAGCCAATCTGCAAACAATTCAGCTTCTGCAGCCAAGAGTCAAACACAGGCCCTCACCAGCAGCCCAAGCTGCTCTGCACTGGCCCTGGGCAAGGAGAGCTGTGGGTGGAACACACAAGTGCTAATTTCAGGCTGTGCTGGAGAGCACAACCACAGGGGCAGCAAGAGGAACAGATCTTTACACTCTTTTGGTTCCCCTGATCTATTGAATTTGTATCTCTCGTAACAGCTCCAAGTTTAATAAGTACAATTCAGCTAATGATGAAGCATTAGGAAGTTACTGCAATAAGGGCAGAAAAGCGATTTCCAATGGAATTTGCTACCAAATCACTGTTGGTTTCCCTGCTTTTTTCTGCCTGATGTGTGTGTGGCCACACACAGTGGATTAGCAAATACATGTATTATATTCTAGGAAGCATTATTATGTTGTCACCAATGATAAATCAAAAAGTAAGTGCTAACATCACTTCAAATTCTCAGACTGTGACAGCAAACTATGAACTTATCTATTCAGACAAAGACAGAAATATGAGACATAATCCAGGAAAACAGTCACAAATGTTTCACATTAAGCAAGCTGAAAAAAAAAATCATTTAAATTGTGTTAAAATTGAAGTCAGTGCTGCTTACATTAGTATGACAATTGGATTTTCGAGTGATTGTCATAATTTAAACCACAGTTTATGCAAGAGATCATTAAGAGTCAATCTGAGGTCTCAACTTAATAGTTCATAATAAGGTTATTCTCTGTAAAGATACTGTCATGGTAGTGCTAGACAACAAAAATGTGCTGCACAGCGGAGGATGCAAGTGCATCTGCAGCAGGATTTGATGTCTAGAAAGCCAAATAAGATTTGAGGTCTTAAAATAAATCCTCAAATGTTATTTCTGCTTGGTTTAAATAAATGCTTGGAGGCTGTCAGAAATGACTAATGTCAGACCTCAGTTCTCACAGAAGCAGTTCCTAATGGCAGTTGAAGGGATGCACGAAGGAAAATAAGGAGGTTTGGGGGTTCCTCTCAGTCAATCTCATGTCCCCAGCCCAGAAGGGACAATGAACATAACCATGAGCACCAGTCTCAGCTCATGCTGCAGAGAAGCAGCCCAACAGCTGGAATCATCCCAGGTGACACTAGATCCTGTCTTCTGACTGGGAAAACATTTCTAAACTCAATCCCAAACACAAGAGAGTCCAGTTACCAACACAGGTATTAGATGGCTGCTACTCTTGGCATTTCCATTGCAAACTGTACTCGTGTTTTGGCACTCTGAACCCTCAAGCCTAGTACACTGAGATACAGCTGTACATTTCACACTAGTAGGGAATGGTAGGACTGCTCCTCACAAATTCTCTCCCTGGAGTAAAAGCTGGTTTTATCCAGTGTGAAAATAACACTCAGGGAAAGTACTTTAATAAATCATTTCCTGTTGAAAAAGAAACACATAGCTTAGAAGCAAAGTCCTCTTTGCAGCATCATAAACATCAGTGCAAGTTCCACATAACCCTGACCCCTGCCCTGGCTAAGCTATCTGAAGATCATTCAGTGACACCAACAGCTAGATTAAGTGCATAAGTACAGTATCCCTTGCCTTAAGGACCTCTGACCACTGTCTAACTCCGTCAAACTGGAATATTCAACTCTTCAGAGAAGAATTTTGCCATTTTCTCCCACAGACACCTTGCTGCACTCATGCAATGTAGGCAGAAGGTCTGAGTGCACAGCTAGCAGTGTGGTGTGTTCCACCTTTAAGGGCCCAAAATAACTCTGTTTTCTGAAAGAAGAATGTTAGAGCTGTGAATCATCAGGGAAAGTGAGATGTCAGAATGACCTACTGAATCAGAGCATGGGTTTCCCCAGAACGCTTAGGAGAAGTTAAAGAAATGATCTTTACTTTATGGTCCATTCCTTCAAGCTTATTAGAGTTTCCAGGCAAAAATAGTGCAAGGTAACAAGGGGTTGTTTCCACAGGACAACATTCAACCTCTCCTCTCGCTCCCTTCGCTTCCGTTCGTTCAGCATAGAGGAATCTGCCAAGGAAAAGCACAAGAGATGTAAAAGCAGAATGTGGCAGTTCAAGGTTTATCCCACCCCAAAACATGTGTGTTAGGAAGTTAATGGGAGCTCTCAGTCATGTTTTCTCCTCATCACAAAGTGTTTGTCCCAAGAGCATCAGAAAGCAAGAGGAAGGTGGTTTGTTCCTCCATGTGACTGACAAGCATTCAAGAACCAAACTGGCCCAGGGTGCCACAGGTCTGGCATCTTTAGCAGCCTTAATGCAAGGGACTGCACTACTCCTTCTGAACCAGCTACTACATTAGGTCAAATGTCACTTTACCACCCACTGCAGAGACATTGTGAGCTGGTTCTGTTCCAAGAGAGCTATTCTCAGCCTCCTCCCATCGAACGAGGTTGAGTTACATGTGCTCTTTATACACTTCAGTCACCATGGAACTGGATAACAGCACCTGCCCTCCCAGACAGGATCCTCAGGCTCTGGGAATTCCTGACTCACTGGTGTCAGCTTCTCCCAGACGAGCCCACAGTGCTCCCAGGGAAAGGATCTTCCCTGGCCTGATGTGGCTGTTTTACCCAGTGATTTGGTTACAATGCTGAGCTCAACACTCACTGCCACACAGGTACAGAAAGGTTCTTCTAATAAAGGTGTTATCTTGTGCTTACAATAAAGGAAGATGGATAAAACCCCAATCCTTAGCTGTTTTGCTTGTTCAAAGGTTGTCAAGCTAACAGGCAGTAATAATTTTTAAGCTTTTAAAGAAAAGGAATTCTGAAGTAAGAGGGAAAAAAATACCAGGAAACAATGGAGAAAATACACAAAAATAATGCTCAGACATCAAACTTGTTTGAACATCACTCACTAGACAGCAAAACATGTATCTATTGTGCACTGCAATAATGTTCATAAATTTCACATTTTCTGTTGCATTGAAAATATTAATCTAATCTGAATCCTCAGATTCATTTTTATGACACAACCTGAATCCTCAGATTCAGATTGTGTCATTAAAATGTTTCAACCTTAGTTTTCTGACCCTGTGTTTAGTAAAGGTCACAAAAGACAATGGTGTAAGACTGCAAACAACTTGAGAAATCACCCAATTACAAAACTTAATTAAATATGGAACTGGCTCATCCAGAGCTGACAGGAAACAAAGGAAGATGGTTATCATTTCTATACTTTACCTCACAGCATGGATAATTCAGTGACACAAAGATCTTCATTAGATGTTTTCATGTTATTTTCCATGAGTTCTAAACATTACCCCAGGCTAATTCAGACACACCAGTAGGAAAACCAGAGTTGAGGCAGCAGGTGAGGTGGTTAAAACTGGTTTGTTAGTGATTTATTATTGAAACAAATTATAGTGATGGTGAATTTCAACAGAAAAGCTAGAAATTGGGAGAGTAATAACTGAATTTCTGACAGATTAAACCAGATTTTTATCACCAAGCCCTGACTTTCCAGTGCCAAAGGGTGGGGCTGGACAGCCTGACTTCCACAGCCACAGATTTGCCAAGAGAGTTGATTTTTTTAGCTCAGCCCTGCTGCAGCCCCTGGTGGTGCCCAGGTCAGCTCTGTGGGGCTTAAAGGATCAACTACAGAACGAGAACTTTGGGAGGAGAAAAGTGTATAAGAAAAACATGAATGGAAATACACCGCACAAAGCTACTCCATGGCTTCACAACACACAAATCCTCCAGGCTTCAGGCTGAGAGATGACTGAGGATTCCAAGATTGGTTCAGGCATTGAGGCCCTTTGCATTCAGTGGGGATAAAACCATAGAATCCCAGAGTGGTCTGGGTTGAAGGGACCTGAAAGATCAGCTCGTTCCACCCCCTGCCACGGGCAGAGACGCCCCTCACTAGATGAGGCTGCTCAGGGTCCCGTCCAGCCTGACCTAAGCACAGAAGTGCACCAACATCACCTCCTCTGCCATGTTGTTATGGCCATTTTCCACCCCAGCCTGACCAGCTGAGAGCATGAAGTCATTGCCACCTACCTGTGAAGTTGCCATTGTGCTGCTCTTTGCTCATTCCGATGCGTCTCTGGTCACAGTCTGTGCCATTCTCTGCCATTTCATAGATCAGTCACCTGTGGGGATCTAACAGCAGAAGAAAACCAAAGAGCTCAGTGTCTGTTTCTGGTTAGGAAGACTCCATTAACTCCACAGTCAAACGAGAAAGGCAAACATCCAGCAGTTCTCCAACCCCTAATCACAGCTCTCCTGCATTACACCATTAAACAGGAGCAAGTGATTCAATTCTCCCAATGACAAAGATTAAAACATTTCCACCTACATAAATCTAAATTTTTCACTCAGATGACAAAACTCCCTCACTTGTAAGAGCTGAACAAAAGCTCCTTGAACAACCCCTCCATGACCCAGCCCACTGTTTGGGCTCCAGAAGCAGCAGAGATTCATACAAACCTCACTCAGTCCTCACAGAGGTACCTAAGACTCAAATCTCATCCTCTGCCACTAAGCTTGCAGGTAGTTAGTGTGCAGGGAGACCTCAAAAACCTCACAGGCTGAAAAATTAGCCCTCAGTATGGTAACTAAGATACAGAGCTGCATCTCCTGGTTTGCTCAGTCTAATATCTCTAAAGCAGGAAAGGTAAACTCTGCAGAGGACAAGAGCTCTGTGATGAGAAGCTTTTTTCAGAGTGTACATTCTCTCTGCTGGTTCAGCCTCTCTAGAGAGCTCAGCCCTAAAAACCCAAAGAACAGCAGTGCTTTCCCTCATCCAGGAGAGCAAATAGTGCAAGGATTGGAATCCATAAACCAGAGTGTTGCAAGAGCTCCTTTTTTTCCCCCCTCTTATAAAACCCCAAACCTGAACAGCTGACAATTCTTATGCAATCAAACACCAAGAGAGTAGCCAGTGAGACTCTTTGCTTGACAAACCCTTTCTTGAATCTTAAAAGTTTCTGGAATTTTATTTTGGAGAAGAGAGTTCCATAAACCTAAGGCATCTCATTAGCACTCAGTTTCTCCCTGTAAACATGATTTACAATTTGTGATATGCTGCTTTTGTTGGAAAGAAAAACAGTGCAATATTAAAATGACAGGTTATATAAAACTGTCCAGTGGAGGAAATTAAAGTTTTACACAAAAAAACTACTTCCCCTTTGATTTATGCTAGCCTTAAGAGCCAAGCAGTAAGTCAGGTTTGGTAAACAGAAGTGAGCTCACTCCTTCCATTTGGCCTGTAAGAATTTTGTCTAATTTTTAAATGAAATGTTAAATTTCAGAGACTGCATTTAATATTTCCAGGGTTTCACAAGGCAGTTTTAGACAGTTTTTTCTAAACAGGAACAAGCCTTGTGCATGACTTGTAATACAGACAAAATTGCTAGCTAGGATGTGTTTATTAAAGGGGTTTTAGTTAGTAGCCAAAAACATTGAGGTCTCAGAAAGGAATTCTTCCTCCACACCTCCTCCTGACATGAAATCTCTCTACTCAAACAGAAACTAATCTCATGCATGTCACAGTTTTTATTCACTGCAGATTGGGCCCCAGAGTACCCAAACCACCTAGAAAATTAATAAAACAGCCCTGCAAAAGTTTGCTTGTGAAAAATGCCAAGGGCTCCCGCATCAGCCAAGGACAAGAGGAATGACCTGCTGCAGTGGGAGCTCTACAGCATCACTCTGCAGTCACCTGCAACCCAAAGCTTGCTCTGAACTGCAAGTCAGACATCAGGGAATATGAACTGCCCTCAGAGCAGTTTGGAGCAGCCTGACAGCCTGGAAGTCAGTGCAGTTACATCAGCACTCAGTGGGTAACTGGCCAGTTGCTATGGCAGTGTGAGGATCAAATGTTCAGCCATCTCCTAATTCCATCAGGACAGGGAGTCCCTGTAGATGGTGAAGTGTTTTGTTTCTACTGACTGCACTAACTTGTGTTTATTTTTGACATCAGTCTAATAGGTGTTTATGAACACAGACAGGAGAAGGTTATAAAAACACACACGTGTACCCCCCCCACATTTACACACACAGAGCTCACACTGCAGAGGGGAATATTTAAATATTTAATTTAACCTACAGTTAGCAAGCCTGATGCCCACAGAAAGCTGCTTGGGAAGCAAAAGCCATCCAGAGCCACTGTGCACACAGCCACGCTGAAAAGTGTCCTGGTTTAGGGAACTTCATTCATGTTTTGTTGACTTAAATATAGCAAACTTTAAAAGAACAACCAAAAAACTCCAGTGGAAACCACAGGTTCCTCATTTTAAACCCATCTTTTTTCTCCTGTGTGCACACATAGCCTTCAAAATTAAAGTCACGACTGGTTTGGGTCTCTGCTCTCAGCTTAATTACGTTTCTAGTTAATTTACTGTAATGCAAACTGCTCTCCCAGTCTGATGCTAAACCCCAGGCTGTGCACAAGGCTGAGTTCCACTGCAATCCACTAAGCATAAACCCATCCATCCCCGGGGAGCTCAGGTGTGCTCTTACGTGGCTGTGACAGCTTTCATGAGCTCAGCTCCCAGAGCCAGAGTTCCTCTGCCTGCTTGGCAAGGCACTAATCCAGGATTAGCTTTGCATAACACTACCTCAAGTACACAAGTCAACCTTTACAGTAAAGCAGATAAATAATCCCCTGCCACACTTGTAGAGGGAGAATAGTTGCTAAGAAGGTCTGAAAGCTAAACAATTCTGCAGAAAGAGCTCTAAAAATTCCTATTGAAACCCACAGCTGATGAGGAGATTGGATACCTATCACATGGCAAGGCTGAATGGGCTAAAATTCACAGAGCAAAGCCTTAGTGGCTGCAGAAAACACTCCCTGGTTTACCCAAGTCTAATTATACCTAAAGCATCTTAGCACAAGGCACTGGAGGATGCTCAGTGCTCCTGAGCTGTTGTGCTGCTTGATGCCTATTAGAATCCCTAGTCCTGCACTTATGCCTCCCCACAGGGATTAACTGGAGTGGGAGCCTGACCCAAAATGGAGTTATCCCTCTTTGACTCAGTCCATATTCTTAAGTCTACACCAAATCCATGAGAGCTCCCCAAAGGAAAAGAAATTCCATCTGCTAAACAGAACTTCACTTCTAATGGATGCTGAAAAAGACACAGAGTCCATCTCTAAAAATAAATTTGCCTACTACATGGAGCAGTTACCAGCAAACATAAAAAAATAAACTATTTAAAAGAGTGAGAAAAACAACTGTGAACAGTTTTTGTATCAGGGTGGCTTAGATCATTTGTTAGAGCTGTGCTCACACAAGAACTGCTTTGTGGGGCTGAACAAAGAACCCACAATACACCACTGAGCTTTAGTGCAACCCAAACCATCAAGTATAAAAAGACAATTATTGCTAGTCAAACATGTAAATTGGTCAACACAAAGGTCTTATGGTAACTGTGACTGGCACTTCACAGCATAAGTGAGACAAAGCAAAACAAGCTAGAGAATCAGGCACTGCAATATCTGCTCTCTGCAGCCAGAGCAAAGGACAAAAGTCTCTTCTCTGGAGCTCGGGGGAGGCTGCAGAAACACCAAGTGTTGGGTGCTCTTATGAAAAGGAAACAGTTTGGGTGTTTGCACTCTCACTTGGAGGAGCAGAATGTGGACTCACGTTCTGTGCTCAGGATAATTTGAGGACTCCTTTCCAGTGTGCTGGGACAACAAGGAAGCTGTTAAACTATTGATGATCTCTCTGCTTTCCAGACATTGTTTGAATCGCTAATTCTTACCACTTCTTACTGAGAGAGCTGCTGGAACTCTGACTCATCTCCATCAAAATCACTTGTCACACAGCTGCTAGACCCAGAGCCACAGCTCAGAGCACTCTGCTGATTCCTCATTGCCACCTCAGCAACAGCATTCCCAGTATTATTTCCCACATTTTAGGCCAAGTGCTCCAATCCTGCTGCTTCTTTCTCAGCTTTTCTGCTAACTAATCCTTCTTCTGCATCACTGTTACACAGTTACAGTAAGAACAGAAGATTAAATCCCAACCTTTCCAGGTGGGTAAAGAATTGCACTACCCAGTGTTACACATCCATAATACAGGTTTGCTTCAGCCACCAAATGCTCACAGGGAGTAAGTTAAGAGTTTCTTGGCAAAGAAACAGTTTGGAGAACACTTTCCCTCCAATCAAAGGTTGCCTGGCACATGAACAGGCTGAGGTAAAGGATGAGATCAGCTTGGAAGTGAAACATTACATACCCCTTCAGCTCCACACAGCTCTGTCACTCCTCACTATTTCTCCAGAACGTGAAGCCACGGGAACAGCCAACTACGTCCTCAGCTCTGTGCCCAAAGCAACTCCTCTTCCAAAGCTTCTGCCCTTACAGAGCAAGAGAACACTGTTCATCATGTGACACACAACTGACACAGCCCCTAACTTGGAGGTTAATGACTTTCCTAAAGATGACAGCAAATAGAAAGAGTAACTGCTCGATTTTTTCCAGTGCTTTAACTCTCATGGGGAGTATTCAATTAAAACAAATTAGGGCACAGCTGAAAGATGTTCCAAATCTCCCCAGATTTAGCTATAATGGGTTCCTCTGATAGGAGTGCATTTATTCCCATACTAAAAATGTTTTGCTCACTGAAATAGTTTAATCCCTCAAAGGAGAAGTAATGCAGTTAAAGACCACAGGTTGCCATTTTGTGGGTTATGCCTCTGTACACCAGACCTATTTTCCAATTCCTTCCCAAAATGCCATTTCAAACAAGTCACCTAACAATGTAGAGTTAAAATTCCCACCTTCCCAAAAAGACTTTGAGACACCTTTCAAGAAGGAATGATTTAATAATGTTGTAACATGAGTTACATGATAAAAATTGACTAGGAAAGAAGAGTTACAAAGACAAGGGGATATACCCAGCCTAAGGAATCACCACCTGACTCTTCCAGCAACTGGTGGAGTGCAGGTTTGGCAGGAGCTTTGCCTCCACACTATTCTGTGAGTTCTGGGAGACAGTTTCCTCCCAAGAGGATGCCTGAACCTGCCCAGCTGTTACTTCCAGGTCCTGGAAGAGGAGGCACAACAGATGAAAGAGGATGAACAGAAAAGGACCTGACAAAGCCTTCATAACACAGAAGCTGAAAGAAGCTCCTGAGACAAAAAGTTATGTTT